AGAAAGTTATTTGGAGTGATGAAACAAAAACCAGCTTCCATCAACATGATGGAAAGACCAAAGTGTGAAGGTCATAAGGAGCAGCTCAGGACCCAAAGCACCACCTCATCTGTCAAACGTGGTGCTGGTTCTGTTGTGGCTTATGGTGGCCACCAGTGCTATTTACTGCTCATCAACAGGATCAATGCAGATTCAGGCAATATGGATGTATGATGCACAATGGTGACACCAAACTATTGTGGAGCCCTTTTTTCAAGCTCATTACAAGTTTTGATAAACAGAACACCTATAAAAGGTGAAGACGCAGACGCTCTACGTCACATGGAAAACTGACCTGAATAAACTCAAAATAAACACTAAGCAGTTCCCCAGGTTTTCATTTCAGCAGTCTGTCTTGTTTCTGTCTCTTCTCTTCTTTATACAACTGTCTATCTACCAAATAAAAACATCCCAGCAGAAATAGAACAGTGACTGTAAAATAAATAAATAAATCAGCCTCCTCCTTGTTACACCGCAGTGGTGAGATGTTTACTAGCAGATTTTACCTCCTGTACTGTCAAGAAATGGAAGGTACCCCATGGAGGTTTGAACCTGGTGGCAGTGCTTTGTGGGTTTTGTTTGTCTTGTGACAAAGAACACGAATACACCTGTGTGACTTGATGTTCATTACTGCCGCTGATTTCGAGATGTTCCACTAATCAACAGGTGGCAATAGTGGGCCAAGAAACACTAATGCACCAGCAGAATTCGGGAAAGAAGAAATATAGTGCTAGTAAACTGTTTAAAATAATTTAGGATTTAAAGTAAAATAATAAATATTAAATAAATCAAATGATAAGGAAATGGATTCAAAGCATTTGTACAGTCTCCCACCCAATATGCACAATACAGAAAGAGTCAATGGAAACACTGGATTTGCATGTATTACAAATGTCTGCGAATGTAGCAGCACTCAGGGCTGAGGCACAAGTATAACTTCATAGTTATGTATTGTTCATATCTCCATGACTAATGTACTGCACATCAGCACTGTCACACCTTAAGGCCATGTCCCAGGTTGCTTTCAGCTGGCTGTGCAGCGCAGTCTGTCCACAGTTCTGTCAGGTTTACTTCACACCACTTTGTGATTCCTATTCCCACCATCCCTCATTTCTGCTGCGAGCGTCTGAGCAGTGTCCTACGAACACTAATGGGACAATCTCAATATAAAGATTTTGAGAGTGTAATCAACTAAATGTAGTTGCACAGAGCAGCAGCATACCAGTCAGTGATGGTCATCCTGCATGGATAGATTCCACAGCTAAGCACAGACGAGGGGCCCGGGGACTCGGATCCTCATCTGCAAAATATCCCAGAAAAAGACTAAGAAAAAAAAGGAAGACAAAACAATGAAAATAAGGTGCAAAATGACCACACAGAGATGCTAAACAAAGAACCAGAAAACAGTGCAAAACCATCTAAATGAGACATAAAATACCTACAAAGAGATGTGAAATCACCATAAAATGAGCACAAATGACACAGCTCTGCATTGTTTTGTCCTCTTTCAGTGTAGCTTGCTCCTATGTCTGACGCACAGAGGGGCCCAGGGACCCATGGTGATCTCTGTGAATCAGAGAAAAATAAATCTGTACAAAAAATGAGGAATGTTGTTTTATATTTGATATACAGTATATTGTGATATCATCTGGTCTGTGTATTGTGCCCATTAATACTTACAGTACATCTGCGAAGCCATTCAGAGGGTTAGAGGCTATAGGACAGGTTCTGATAGATCCTCAAAAACAATTGGTTCACTTAATAATAATAATAATAATAGCTTCAAGTCGCACCACCATGCCACCCAAATTTCCTACCAACTTTGTGAAATATTAAAATTTAAAGTCACAGAAGACCCCCTTTTAACCCTTAATGAAAGTTTACTGATAAACAAGGGAATTGTCAGACATTTCAAAATAATGTGTAAGTTAATGTGAAACCAAGGTACTTCTTAATTGCTAAGAGAGTTTGAAATTGTGGAGTTATAAACGGTTGTCTATAACATTTTCAAATTAACGGAAAACTGGGAATTCCTGGCTACAAAACTAATGCCTAAAAATGTTTTAGGTGTTTTATTGGCTTTCAGAGGTAAATTAAGGACTAATTAATGGAATTTAATAGGATTTTTGTTTCATATTAGCAAAGAAAAAAATTCAATTTAAGTTTTTTCATTTGTCATTTCTACATATATGTCATACATACTGTACTTTGTAGACCATTTGCTGCTTAAACTGTTAAGGATCCTCAGACTGATGTAAGAAGCTTTTACAGAGATCTGGGGTGGGAGGGGTCTTTCATCATGTTTAGGGTCTCGTGGGTGCACCCTGTTTCATGAGATTGTTGCATGGGGGAGAGGAAAGTTCTGATAGTCTTTTCTACCGAGTGTTTCCTGTGCACTAATGACTTTTAATCTTATTCTCCACAGCTGAGTTGAGCTTTGCAGCAACAGGTCTGACACTGTTTCCCATCACACTAGAAGCAGATTACTGAGAACAACCAGCTTGTTGATCAAATCATTTACATGGACTCTCAACAACCAGACTTGATAAGCAGTCAGCTGTTTGAGGATCAGGTGAGGAAACATCTGATGAGCAGCACAAACCTAAAGCCTTTGTAAACACACTGAGGTTACAGGTTTTTCAAACCTATAACCAAGCATCAAGCATCTCTGAGTCAGTTCCAGACCTGATGTGACCCATTAATGGAAGAGCTGACTCTAGCAGGCTCAGACTTAGCTGCTGGTGAAAGCAGAACAGGTCAAAGCTTTGGTTACTGGGGTGTTTTATGTTATTTCAAAGCAGCTTTTCTCAACGTAAACCTTCAGTTCAAGTGAAAGCAGGATGTCAGCTAAAGTTGTTACATAACATTTTTTGAACCAACAGTGATTCAACTCTACTACTAACCAAAGCAAAATTCCAGTGAAGCAGCTGTCATTCATCTTGAGCTGGTTGTGTGGTAGTGAGAAATGTGGCTTAATGGAAGTGTATCAGCTAACAGGGGTCACAGGTCGCAGAGACTTTAGAAAGGGTTGCTATATGAAAAAGGCATTTCATTAAAAGGTCAGGAGACCTCAGGTGGAGCTCAGTCTGACAGATTTAAGTCAAACAGATGATAGATGAGTCTTTCTGGCAGCCTGTCGTCTATACAGCTGTGTCTGCACCTCTCTGTCTCACAGTCAAATAATCCTTTTAATAAAATAATTTGGCAAAAAGCAGTTCTGAAGGTCAGTTCTGCAGAGGAGACAGCAGGTTACGCAGTGTGACCAGAGATCTCCATCTAGAGGCACATCAGAGAATTACAGCCAGCTGTTCAAAATATTACAGCAGTACAGAAGATGATTAGTGGAGTTTACCCACAGATTAGAGTTACCCTTGAAAAAAGATCTTTATATTATATCTTTAATCATATGAATATATGTTAACTCTGATAAATGTGGTGTTGATCTGTGAAAATGATCTCATAAAATGAGGAACTTCACTTTCTACAGGTCCTCTGGGAACATTTAATTTGAAAATAGACATATATATAGTCAAACATTGAGAAGAGAAATTCCTGCACATTTAGTGGGAATAGAGTTACTGTTATTCTGATAAGGCACTGAGTCAAATTTAAACAAGCGTGCAAACAGCAAACAGAGAAAGGATATGAATCATTGTGCAACTGATAAGACAACCACAGCTGGTGGCAAAAATAACCATTATTGCTTCAACAAATTTAGATTTAACCAAAACCTAAATTAATACAGTAAACAGACAGACTTTTTCACATTTAAAATCTATAGTGTTAGAACTGCCTGTTATATAACATCATACTATGTTAAATAATGAATTACATTAAAATGTCACACTTGGTTACATTACCTTTTATCAGTTCCTACTTACTTCTCACTCTTGTAACATTTCCATTTGGGGATAATGTAAAACTTACAGAAGAGCTGAATCTTAAATAAATAAAAGGGTACAAGGGTACTCTGCTTTCTGAACTCAGACACTTCAGAAAAGAAAGTGACAAAAGTGGAGTTTTTATGACTGAAGTTTTAAGGTTTAAAAAACATATTGTTCTGCATTATGTCTTGAATTCACCAGAAACTGGTGACCCTCACACTGAGAAATGCCTTTCTTAAACTGACAGCTGGTTTGTGATTAAATGCCACTGTCATATACAACACAACGGGTTTCTGAACAAAAATGACTACAAACATACAGTGAGTACAGGAAGTCCAGCTGAGGTTTATCATCTTCCTCAAACTAGCTTCCCTGGCTTCATGAAGTTTTGTTTTTTGTGAAGGCTCTTTGGCAACAATTATTCACAACTAATTTTAAACCACCAGCTGATTGACAGCTGGATGCCACTAGTGTGGGTAACACTTCTTGCGGTGTTACCCACACTAGTGGCGTCCAGACAGCTGTCAATCAGCCCAACACAGAACAACAGAACTTCAGTGATCCCCTGACCTGTTTAGTGCCATTAAGCAATACATATGTTCAGTATTAAACACTTTGGTTCATATCAGAATACCTCCCAATGTAACTACTGATTCACATGTTAACATGCTGTGGGTAGCATTATGGTGCTATCTTTGGCAAGTGAATATGCTAGTTAGGTAGCCTGCTAAACTGATAATATAGCATCCGGACGATTCTAAAAGTAAGAAACAGTCTAAAGGCTCATGTGTGCAATTTCTATTTCTTGGTGAAATCTGAATACTAACTTAATACAATAATGCCATAATATGTAATCATTTACATAAATATATTGTTAGCATGTTACTGCATGGCTAAACTGAATTTAAAACATGCTAACATGATCATTATTAGCACATTAATATATTATATTACATTAAGATGAATTTCTAGCAAAGGCTGACAAAGTCCAGCACAGACCAGAACCAGATGAGCTGAGTCTGAGATGGCCTCAAAATGAACAGCAACTTTTCTTTGTTACAACAATTTAGTGATTTGTTTTTTTTTCTCGGCTGTGTAATGGTCAGTAGAGCTTCACAGGGCAGGCAGTATTGCTGTATACTTTTGTTTCAACTTGTGACTTATTTTCATAGTTTGCCCATCATTCCTACCAAGGCTCTGTATACATGATTAGTGTTACGAGCTGTGTGCACTACATACTGGCCAGAGCTAGATGCATATCATCAAAGAGCATTCTTTATGATTGCCAATTCACAAAACTGGTAACCCCATCTCACTGGGCTTCAGTTCAAGAACCACAAGCCAGCTTTCCATCCACATGTAGTGCATATGTCAACCCAATTTCCAGAAAACTGGCAAAAGAAAAGGCAAATTACTGCATTTTTTCATCCACTACCCTCTTGCACTTTGTCACATTTTGCATTTATCAATACATTATCTTTTCTGCCTCTTCCCAAAATGTCCTGGCAGACAAAATCCAAAGGACAGAAAGGTACCTACAAAAAGGATAGGGAGGTTAGAAGGTATTGAAAGATGGCCTCACACATTAATGGTTTTTGTCGTTTCATGGAATTTGTTGGCAAGAGCAGAAACACCAATCTTGTCCTTTAAGCAAAATGATAGCAGCAACATATTGGAGTGTCAGAAGTCTGTAACTTGGAATGAGAGGACAACTGGTGAGTAACACTAAAGCTGTTTATGGAATGGTGACTAAACCTCACAGAATAAGACAGGTTCAAAAACAAAAATCAGTAAACCTACTCTGGCACACTGTGGATGGTCTCAATGATCATCTTCTTCAGTTTTTTCACTTTTTCTGGCGGGGTCTCGTTCAGACACTCCTCCACATACTTCAGGAACCCGGCATGCGGTGACACTGTTTGGTCTTGACAGATTGTCCTCATGAAATTTAGCATTTCATGGTTGGTTAGCAGTGCCTGGTGGATCGCTCGCTTGCGTCCCGACACTCTGTCAGTGTGAGAAGAGGATGTGGAAGGGGATGGGGAGGAAGAGGGGGATGAGTGCTGGGAGTCTGGGGGAGTAGGCGAGGGTGGGGCATCAAGGCTCTGTGGAGTGACGTTCAGTTTGGTAGTGGCCTGACTGTCGGTGCAGTAGTGCAGGGAAGAGGAAGGGGCTTGGCTGTTCAGGTGGAGGAGGCTGGACTCCTGTGGCATGTGGATATGGAGGGCTTCAGGTCGCTCGTCCTCATCACAGGAATCACAGAGAAACATTAGCTCACGGTAGTGTCTCCACTTTGGGAGGTAAAAATCCTCTGATCCACATGTTTTGTTTGAGCTCACCACCTTGTGCTCACGCTGGAAGATGGTTCGCAAGTTCCTGAACTTTATCTTTATGTCTTCCACTGAAGAATGAAGAATAACAGAACCAGTGAGTCTCAACAGATAAAATTACTTTGGGAAAAAGTGTAAACATTAACTGTGTTGAGATCAAATTTGATTTCAAGTTTATGGAATATTTCTCATGCTATCAAATTTCTATTAACATAACAGCACACCACCACCATCACAGTTACCTGTGAATGGGACTGGCTCATTGTCAGACAGGAGGGTGCTGAGCGTCTCCAACAGGCTCCGTCTCAGCTGACGGTTTCTGTAGCTCTCCGACTTGTGGTTCCACAGACAGTTGTGCTCTGGAAGATGAGAGACGATGCATATTCTGAGGTTAATACAAAAATGAAAATGAAAACACATCTATGAACTGAAAGCATCTCCTGGTAGTATTTCTCTGATGTCACTTCAAAAGAGTTAAATAACATCATCAACTTTAGAAACCAACTCTGAGAGACTTTCATCCCATCTTTATCTGAGTTTTGGGCCACATTCATAAAACATCCCATAAGTAGCTCCTAACTGGTCAGGTCAGGAGAAACTCCTAATCAGAGGGGAAGCGTCAGCCCTAATTTAAAGTCTCTTAAGACTCTTTTTGACCTGAGATTAATTCACAAACACATTTTTCTACCAAACCTAGCTCCTGTGTGAAAAGTTGGTCCAAGGGACTCCAAGTCGCTAAGACCTGCTGCTGTGCCAAACGAGGGCTATGCCAGGCAAACCGCAGGCTGGAGTTTGTTTGACAATCACCAGCTGGACATGTTTTAAGTTATATTTGGTTTAAAGTCTGATACTGATCAGCTGAATTCAGCTGACTAAGGTTAGTACAGTTTGTCTGCATCAGTGACTTTGATCACAGAGTTATTACTATTAGATTAATATTAGAATTATTTCACTTATTAATATTACTGTTCATTATTGTCAGCACAAGTAAGCCATGCTAAAAACTGACTGGTGCATCTTAAACATGAATCAACTGAACCTCAACAATGATGTCACGTACCAGAGTAAAATGATATGAGCTGCTGGACTTTGGCCTCACTCCAGTGGCAGCGGGTGTCTGTGTTCTGCCTGCTGTCTGACTGAGCAGATACAGAGAAATTTACAGGGGAGGGGTTTGCAAAAGTCTTGGTGTCCAGTGGTGATGTAGATCGAGAAGCTGAGAATGTGGGGGGAGCTGTCTGACTTGGTAGTCTGAGATTATCCAGAGATGCAGAGTCTAAGGTTTGGTATGCAGCACTGCTGCTGGTTTTGGTGTCACTCTGACTACAGCTGGAGGGAGCTGAGGTGATACTGAACTTGATGATACTGGCTTGGGCGGAGCAGGAGGAGAAGCTGCTCAGAGTGGAGGAAGGCGCTTGATTTCCATGCTCCAGATCATTGTCATCCTGCTGCATCAGTACCTGCAGGTCATCTGTGCTGTCATCTTCATCACAGGCCTCGCAGAGGAAAAGCAGCTGCTCGTAGTGTTTCCATTTGGACACATAGAGTTTGTCGGATGCCCTGCTGGCCTGGACTGCCTTATATTCACGGTTAAAAACTGTCCGAAGGTTCTTAAACTTGCACTTTATGTCTTCAACTGCAAAACAGCAACAAAGGAGTCACATTATGCAAACTTATGAATGGCCTGGCAGCCCCACTGTGATGACAGGACATTAGGAAGCTGCACATTATTACTGCCTAGCTATTATATGTATTTCCAGCTCCATCTCTTAACTCCCTCTAAAATAACACACTGTTGTTTTTGCATTTCTGTTTGTGTCGGGTTAAGCTAATAAGATACAACTTGTTTTAGAGGTGCTGGCAGGCGGATTTCTGAACTCTGAAAGTGAATGTGCATATTTACCCAAAATGTTGGACTATTCCTTTAAAGCAAAGATTTGGGTGAGAGGAACCTCCCAAAGCTCATGAGGTCATGGAATGGGTTGAGGAATGAAAATAAAATATGGAATATGTATTTAAAAATGTCAGTCCAACTTTTAAAAAAGTGAAATTTTCTTAGTTTGACAACTGGATGCAAGGCTCATAACTCAAACAATGAGGTGCACATGAACACTGGCTCCAATAGGAACTGAACCCCAAAAATGATGGTGATGGTGTGTTGGAATGTAGTCATTAAAATAAGCAGGACCATATGATATTTACCTGAGAAAGATACTGCGTGGTCAGACAACTGGCTCCTCAGAGTCTCTAGCAGCCTCAGTCTGAGCTGACGGTTGTTGTGGTTTTCGGACTTCTTGTTCCATAGACAGCTGTGCTCTGTGAGCAACCACATACAAAAACAACTTCCATCAACTATAAAACAATGTCACTGTAAAAAGAATCAAAATCAGTCTCTATATCGATGTAACTGTTTGGAATCTATAATCAGGGTTTTGCTTACCAGAGTAGAAAGCTATTAGGTCACGCTCTCTCTTTCCTGTCCAGTAACATTTAATCATCATGTTGGTGGGGATGGAAGAGGACGAGGTGGAGGAGGTGTTAAGGCTGGGGAGGAAGGGGATGATCAGTCCTGGAGATGTAAGGACAGACTTGATCTCCTCCTGTGGAGTAGTCAGCGGTGACAGTGGCAGCTCATCAACACCGTCCTGATCCCAGCAGCCCTGCAGGAACATCAGCTGCTGGTAGTGCTTCCACTGCGGCACAAACACATCACCCGACCTGTACACCTTGCTCGCTTTCACCATTTTGTACTGACGCTGAAAGGTGGTACGAAGGTTCTTGAACTTGTTCTTAATGTCTTCCACTAGAAAGAGAGATGGTAAAAACAGTTTAAGATTTAACATAAAGAATTTTTTTTCCTACCTACCATGCACTGAGTCTGCCTTACCAGTGAAAGGAACAGGTGGGGGGTGGGAAGACAAAAGGATCCTCAGATGTTCCAGGGTTTTCCATCGTAGCTGTCGGTTCTTGTAGCTCTCCGACTTGTGGTTCCACAGACAACTGTGCTCTGGGAAATGAAAACAAACCAGATCCTTGACAGCTATAACACGGTTTAACATTTCTTTTACCTTCACGGAGTTGGGCCATCAGCACTTTGGCAGTTTGGAACAACTTGGAGTTATGTTTAGAAGTCAAAAGGTGTCTCCACTAGAAGAAACTGTACATCAAAAGTCACACCAGATGTTCAACCAGACACTTTTTCTAAGTTCATTAGTTATGTCCAGAATATTTTACCAGTTAGTACTGGAGAGTACACATCTTTAAAGGTTTTGTGTTTTAAAAATGGATAACTTGAAATGACTTGAAGTGATTAATCTAAAGTTAGTGTTTATGTTAAGTAATGTGGACTATTACAAATTGTGACTAATATTACTTTCCAGTTGTGTTTCTAATTTTTCTTTGTACTAACACACAAACTATACAACAGAAAAGTAAAGTAGGCTATAAATTGTAACATATACAGTATGTATGAAAGTGTTAAGGTTAGGTAAGGTAATAAGGTTAACTGAGTTGCAGTGGCCAGGTGGGTCAATGTTTGCAGGGTGACAGTGGTCAGGTGTGTCATAACCTCTTAACAAATACTGTGTAAAGCGCGTTATAATAGCCAGATCAATTATCAACTTCAATATGGAGGCAACTAAGCATCACGTTAAATTGACTGTGACTAAAACACACTCATGAAATGTATGGTGTAAATAAATAATGCTGTCATCCTAAAATCAATGCTAGCTGCGTACAAAGTAATTAGGC